TTACAAGGAATTTTAATTTTTTTGCAGGGAATTATTCCAACCCACACCTAACATTTTTGGAGCCCAAAACAAGAGTTTAAGGAGAAACCCCAGGCTATGCTGTAAAGGTTCTTCATCCTCTATACCACTATTCCAGTATAAATGTCCCCAGAAAAAGACACAAGAGCACTCATGCCCAATAACACCTAGTGGGCAGCTGAATACCAGGGAAGATTGGTTGACCATACGAGGAGGTCAAAACATTTTCGGCTGGCACCAGAAAGGGCAAGTGAAATGGATTACAGGGGGCTATGTTCCCAGGACAGACTTCCCCCACTGCACTTGTGTCTGGAGCAGAATGTGCTGTGAGAGATGGAGACAAGATAAGAGTCCAGCTTGGCCTACTGGAGAAAGAACAGATGAGGGAAAGTATATTAGTTATCTCTTGTTGTGTTACAAACTGCTCCAAACCTAGTGGTATAAAGCAAGAGTTAATATGTACTATTTCATACAGCTTCTATGGGTCAGGAATCCACAAGTGGCTTGGCTGAGCAGTTCAGGTTTAGCATCTCTTATGAGGCTCCAGTGAAGATCTTGGCCAGGGCTGCTGTCATCTGAGGGCTTGACTGGGGCTAGAGGATCTGCTTCTAAAATGGTGCACTTGCCTGGCTGGCAGGGTAAATGAAGCAGGAGGCTTCTGTTACAAGATCTACCCACCGGACTGCCTAGGGATCCCCATGTGCATTAGCCTATTTTCACGCTGCTGATAAAGACATACCTGAGACTGGGAAGAAAAAGAGGTTTAATTGGACTAACAGTTCCACATGTCTGGGAAGGCCTTAGGATGGCAGGAGGTGAAAGGCACTTCTTACATGGAGGCAGCAAGACAAAAATGATAAAGAGGCAAAACCAGAAACTCCTAATAAACCCATCAGATCTTGTGAGACTTATTCACTATAAGAATAGCATGGGAAAGACCAGCCCCCATGATTCAATTACCTCCCTCTGGGTCCCTTCCACAACACATGGGAATTCTGGGATCTACAATTCAAGTTGAGATTTGGGTGGAGACACAGCCGAACCATATCGTTCTGCCCTGGCCCCTCCAAATCTCATGGCCTCACATTTCAAAACCATTCATACCTTCCCAACAGTCCCCCAAAGTCTTAACTCATTTCATCATTAACCCAAAAGTCCACTGTTCAAAGTCTCATCTGAGACAAGGCAAGTCCCTTCTGCCTATGAGAGTGTAAAATCAAAAGCAAACTAGTTACTTCCTAGATACAATGGGCGGTACAGGTATTGGGTAAATTCCAAATAGGAGAAATTAGCCAAAACAAGGAGGTTACAGGGCCTATGCAAGTCCAAAATCCAGTGGGGCAGTCAAATTTTAAAGCTTCAAATTGATCTCCTTTGACTCCAGGTCATGCTGATGCAAGAGGTGGGTTCCCACGGTCTTGCGCCTCTCTGTCCCTGTGGCTTTGCAGGATACAGCCCCCCTCCTGGCTGCTTTCATGGGCTGGCATTGAGTGTCTGTGGCTTTTCCAGGCACATGGTGCAAGCTGTCAGTGGATCTACCATTCTGGGGCCAGGAGGATGGTGGTCCTCTTCTCACAGCTCCGCTAGGCAGTGTCGTAGTGGGGACTCTGCGGGTGGGCTCCAACCCCACATTTCCCTTCTGCACTGCCCTAGTAGAGGTTCTCCATGAGGGCCTCACCCCTGCAGCAAACTTTTACCTGGGCATCCAGGTGTTTCCAGAAGTCTTCTGAAATCTAGGCAGAAATTTTCAAACCCCAGTTCTTGATTTCTGTGTGCCCACAGGCTCAACGCCGTGTGGAAACTGCCAAGGCTTCCACCCTCCGAAGCCACAGTTCAAGCTGCACGTTGGCCCCTTTCAGCCACAGCTGGAGCAACTGGGACACAGGGCCCCAAGTCTCTAGGCTGCACACAACACAGGAACCTGGGTCCGGCCCACAAAAGCACTTTTTCCTCCTGGGCTTCTGGGCCTGTGATAGAAGAGGCTGCTGTGAAGACCTCTGACGCAGCCTGGAGACATTTTCCCCGTGGCTTGGGGTTTAACATTAAGCTCCTTGCTATTTAGGCAAATTTCTGCAGCTGGCTTGAATTTCTCCCCCAGAAAATGGGTTTTTCTTTTCTATCACATACTCAGGTTGTAACGTTTCCAAACTTTTATACTCTGCTTCCCTTATAAAACTGAATACCTTTAAAAGTACCCAAGTCACCTCTTGAATGCTTTGCTGCCTAGAAAGTTCTTCTGTCAGATACCCTAAATCATCTTTCTCAAGTTCAAAGTTCCACAAATCTCTAGGGCAGGGGCAAAATGCTTCCAGTCTCTTTGCTAAAGCCTAACAAGTGTCACCTTTACTCCAGTTCTCAACAAGTTCCTCACTTCCATCTGGGACCACCTCGTCCTGAACCTTATTGTCCATATTGCTATCAGCATTTTGGACAAAGCCATTCAACAAGTCTCTAGGAAGTTCCAAATTTTCCCGTATTTTCCTGTCTTCTTCTGAGCCCTCCAAACTGTTCCAATCTCTTCCTGTTACCCAGTTTCAAAGTCACTTCCACATTTTTGGGTATCTTCAGCAACGCCCCACTCTACTGGTACCAATTTACTGTATTAGTCCTTTTTCACACTGCTGATAAAGACATACCTGAGACCGGGGAGAAAAAAAGTTCTAATTGCCCTTACAGTTCCACATGACTGGGACGGCCTCAGAATCATGGCAGGAGGTGAAAGGCACTCCTTACATGGAAGTGGCAAGAGAAAAACGAGAAAGAGGCAAAAGCAGAAACCCTTGATAAACCCATCAGATTTCATGAGACTCATTCACTATCACGAGAATAGCATGAGAAAGACCGCCCCTTATGATTCAGTTACCTCCCCGTGGGCCCCTCCCATAACACGTGGGAATTCTGGGAGCTACAATTCAAGTGGAGATTTGGGTGGGGACACAGCCAAACCATATCACCATGGCATGGCAGCTGGCTTTCCCCAGATCAATGAGGGTGCAAGGCTGCTGTGTCTTTTATGCTCTGACCTCAGAAGTCACTCTACAATATTCTACTGACTTCATAGGCCAGCCTTACCCAAAGTGGGAAGAACTACACAAGGGCCCAATCACCAGGATGTGAGAAGCCGGTAGGTGATCTTAGAGCTTCCACAGGAAGTAAGAACATTTGTCAAGAGTATGTAATCTTACCACCTGTCTTCCACTTACCTCCTCCTAACTACTTATCTCCTTTCATTCTTCCAACAACCATAGGAATGAGTTACCATTGTTCCTTATAAGAAAGACTAGGCTCAGAGAACTTCAGTCCAAGTTGCCCCAAACTCACAGTTATTAAGTGGCAGAGCTAATTGTCAAACATAGATCTGACTGACTCCAAAACCACAAGCTGTTAAACTACGTAACACTCTCTTCCTAGGTGAAAAGAAAAAGCATGCTGCTAGGTGAGTGTTTGGGTTGAGTAGAAGAAAAGGTGAGTGAAATGACCTCTAGGATTCTAGCTTTGCCTGTGAATACTTGGGCAAGTTACTTAACCGCTTTGTGCTTCAGTTTACTTATCTGCAACATGGGACTAATATCAGTACCTACTTAGAGAGTTGTTGTGAGTATGAGTTTATAGTTGCAAAACGCTTAAAATGATGCCTGGCACATAATATATGCCATATGGGTATTTTTATAAATGAACCAGTCAACAGCTTGATCAATAAATCAGTAGTACTGACATCTCTCCATATTGCCATTCCTGCCCAAGTAATTCTCTAATCTGCCTTACACTTTGAAACTGTCTTCGTTTGTCCACATCAATCTTTATTGTTTTGTAAAGATGAGGCCTCACCATGTTGCCTAGGCTGGCCTTGAACTCCTGGACCCAAAGTGATCCTCCTGCCTCAGCTTCTCAAAGCGCTGGGATTATAGGTGCGAGACACCGCACCCCACATCAATCTTTATCTGAAAGCTCCAAGAAGATGGGGTTGTCTGGATTGCAGTAGGTGACAATGACCAACTATTGTAAATATCTATTATGAGCATTAGAATGGTTTTCTAGGATGTCTCTCTCCTGCCTCCACTGTGAGCCAGCAGAAAACTTGTCTTTTTCTTTTCAAGTCCCCTGTGCCCTGTACAACATCCAGCTCATGAATAAATGAAGGACACACCCATATGGTACTAATAATACTATTTTTGGTGATGATATAATGGCTTCCAGATCCACCAAGGGGACTCCTGGAACATCTTCCATAGGCTGGGCTGCTCCCCAGCATCTGGGTGGGCCCTCTTCCCACCATGGGCTCCTCCTACCAAGGAAGTGCTATTTTTAACCTTGGGTGGGTAGATGACCAGTTATTTCCAAAGGCTGGCTGAGAACACAATGGCCATGACCCTTTGGAACAGAGGAAAAGAATGTGCATCACAGGGAAAATCCTGTGCCCTTTTCTGACTTTGTCATTTACCACCATCTTTCCTGGTTCCAGTTTGTTCACACTGCCTTCTTTCAGGCGAGGAGGAGGAGGAGGAGGAAGAGGAGTAAGAGGAGGAGGAGGAGCAGCAGCAGCAGCAAGGGAGGGAGGAAGTAAGGAAGGAACATTTTTTAATGCGTTATCCATACTTTTTTATGAAAGCCCATGGTTTTTTATTACACCAGAAAGCCTGTGAAGGAGCTGAGAGCCTTGGGAATCATAATAGCAACATAATGAAAGCAAGTCAGGATTTAGTTATTCTGCAGTAAAAACACATTTTTGATTAATATCATTTAAAAAAATGCCATTTTTGCAAAACAAAAGGAAGTACTACAGAGTATCAGAACGATCTTATGAGACTTCCATATAATTTTTAACTGGTTTACCTGCTTCCTAATTTACTAATGAAAAGGATTATAAAAACACTACCATGTTATACCTTCTGTCCTTTTCTAAAAAGTAAAATTGAATCTCTTTTATAATAAAATTGAAAGGGTAAATTAATGACTTTCATTGCCCCTCCTCCCTCAAAAAAAAAAAAAACTCTTTTGATGAAATGACCTTGATCGAACCCATTCTGTCAATGGGCTTTAACAGCATCAAGAGTGTGTCTAACAGGGCACGAGCAGGATAGCGGTGTTTTGGCATACGATCCCTGCTGTCCCCAGTGGCTCACAGTGGGAAATTCGCCAGCCTTCAGTACCTGATTTCTGTGTCAGGCAGCCTTCCTTCCTGCTGAAGAGATGTGAGACCTGCAAAGTAGAACGCTAAGTCTTTCCCTGACATCTAGTGTCAACATGTGAAATGACAGACTGGAAATCAGACACCCACTAGGACAAGGATATTAACCTTACTTGTTAATTGGGGTGACAAGTAGCATTCCTCAAGGTCGCCTCTTGGTCTAGTAACCCTGAGGGGTCCCTCAGGAAGCAGTTGGCAGATTCCCTACCTCACAGCCCCCAGACAGAAGGGGTGGAGAGGCACCTGGAAGATGAAAATGCATCATTTTTCTCATTGTACAATATCCCTTACTGATCCATGACTGATGCTGCATCCTCTGTGCTTATTTATCTCCTGGCTGGAAAAAAAAAAAAAAAAGCCAGAAATCATTGCTTATATCTTGATAAGCTGTCTTAGCCCAGGTTCTCTTATTCAGAGTCCTCTGCAACCCACTCTTCTGCCTTCTCATGACCTTTTTACTCTTGATTTTTCTGGCATATGGAATTTACACAGAATGCACAATATAGGTCAACAGATGCCAATGCAAAAAGAAAAAGAAGTAGGAATAGCTTTTAACTTCTGTTTCTCAACACCTGCTAGCACCAGGACACAGTGATGCACTTACATTTTTTGGCAAAGGGGTCATTGGGTCCTTCTCACATTTTAGTTGTTTAAGCATCTCAGCAGATGGCGCCGTTAATGTACAGAGAGTGCTCGAATAACGTCATTGTTTTTTTATAACACTGATGAGAAGAATAAAATCTCTTCCCAGCTGGAGCCACTGTCTGTGTGGAGTTCGCATATTTTCCCCATGGCTTCAAGGGTTTCCTCTGGGTACTCCACTTTCCTCCCCCATCCCAAAGCTGTGCACATTAGGTGAACTGGTATGTCTACACAGTGCCAGTGTGAGTGTGGGTGGGTGTGGGTGTGGGTGTGGGTGTGTGTGTGAGCGTGCCCTGTGATGGGATGGTGTCCTGTCCGAGTTCACCTTGTGTCCTGAGCTGCTGCAGGAGGCTCCAGACACCCAAAACTTGAACTGGACTAAGTGGCTAAATAATTCTCCTATTTTCATTCATCTTTCTTAATTGTCTGTATAGCTTACATTTATTTCAACATTTAAGAAGTGTTGGCTGGGTGCTGTGGCTTGTGCCTGTAATCCCAGCACTTTGGGAGGCTGAGGCAGGCGGATCACGTGGTCAGGAGTTCAAGATCAGCCTGGCCAATATGATGAAACCCCGTTTCTACTAAAAATACAAAAATTGAGCTGGCTCTAGAAGGTTGGGATCAATCCTGAATTTAGTGTTATTTTATTTTAAAAAGATAGTATATATAAATAATTCAAAACAGTAACCCTTCTGGGGTTTCTCTTGGTGGTTGAGATAGTCCCACATGTGGTCATCAGAAAACAAGCCATTCCTCATACTAATATGGGATCAGCTCCTTGACCTATGAGGGGGCAGGAGTGCTTCCTGCTGTGTTTTAGAATCCCTCCCCGCCTTGTTTCCTGGCAGTGAAATGCCGCTTGGTCCTGTCCAAGTGTCTCTTTAGCTGATTTCTGAATCATGTTCTAGTTGCTTGGCCCTGCCACATGGGTCCAGTGTTCGTTTGAGTATAACTATACAAAGTTATTTTTCCAGATCAGTATAATAAAGGAGTGATAAAATGAAACACCGCATGTTCTCACTCATAGGCAGGTGTTGAACAATGAGAACACATGGACACAGGGAGGGGAGCATCACACCCTGGGGTCTGCTGGGGGTGGCTAGGGTGGGGACAGCGGTGGGTAGGGAGGTTGGAGAGAGATAACATGGGGAGAAATGCCAGATATAGGTGATGGGGGGATAGAGGCAGCAAACCACCTTGCCATGTATGTACCTGTGCAACAATTCTGCATGTTCTGCACATGTACCCCAGAACCTAAAGTATAATAAAAAATAATAATAATAAAATAAAGAAGTGATATGCAAAAAAAAATAAATACAAAAATTAGCCAAGTGTGATGATACGCACCTGTAGTCCCAGTTACTTGGAAGGCTGAGGCAGGAGAATCTCTTGAACCCAGGAGGTAGAGGTTGCAGTGAGCCAAGGTGCACCACTGACTCCAGCCTGGGCAACAGGGTGAGACTCTATCTCAAAAAGAAAAAGAAAAAAGGAAGTGTTTGTGTCTTTATTTAGAAGTTTTGTGGTGCTTTTGTGGCCAGAAATATGCCACAAGAACTTAACTCTTATTTACCTCAGTTAGCCTGTGATCAAATTGGCTTTGTTGTATGCCGTTACACTTGAAGTGGCAGTTTCCAAGAACCTATTGGTGACTGGGCAGAGTGGTAACTCCAGCTACTCTGGAGTCTGAGGCAAAAGGATCCCTTGAGCCCAGGAGTTCAAGACCAGCCTGGGTAACACAGAGAGACCCCTTCTTAAATTAAAAAAGAAAAAACTATCAATTACTTTAAGTGAGGACTTAGTATTTGAGAAAGTGTCTTTGCTCTGAAAAAGCATTTGTTGATACCATACCAATACCATACTGTCAAAAATGCTGCAGAATCGGTGACTTCTATACTGCAGGGAGTGTAGGAAATTAGAATTGTCCAAGAAAATTGGGGGTGGAGTGGGAGTGGGGCACCTTCCCGAGAATGAGAATCATCAGCATCAAGAGAAGCCTGAAAGCCTACGGTGGTCAGTTCATGCCTTCCTCCAGGCAGCCCACTGAAATCATTTCAAAACTGTGGAAATTCTGCTGTGATAATGCATCTCCTTAGATTACATGGCACTTCCTCAATAACCCACAACAGACCTATAATAATACAACAATGTTTCTCACCAAGAAATCCCCTCCAGTATACCCTCTCTTCCTGATACTTCAATGTAAGCCCATTCCTCCTTCAGTAGAACCTGAGATTCTTTCATCCTTTCACTGGTCTAATGTAATGTTACTCAGTGTCTACAAACCAGGCAATGTGGCTGGTTCCAGGAAAACAGAGGAGATAATAGTCCTAGAACAAGCACTCAAGGTACTTATAGTCAAAGGAGGTATGCTTGGTGTTGATTCGACTATGTCTCAGGAGTCTGTTTGATCTGAATGTAAGTCAGAGCCCCTCAAACCGTCAAACCATCATCTCTTTGCCTGAAAGCCGTGAAGTCTTGTAAGGTTCTCCTGGTTGGTCTCCTTCTCCCCACGGCCTTTCAAAATAATCATTATTGCATCTAGCAGGAGGCTTTTCCCCCATCTAAGTGCTCCTCACAGGTTAGACTGTAGGTTGGCCAGGTGAGCCAGCAGTTAGCAGGAAGTGGGTGGAGAAGGGGCAGGAAGAGCCAGCTCCTCTCTCTGTGATTGCAATGCCCCTACGCCATTGGAGCAGTATGGTACGTATATTGTCTCTGCCATCATGACTCTTGAGATTCCCATCTGAATTTGTCCTAGTAAGTATCATGCGGCTGTCTCAGGTAAGCAGCAACAGAAGTGCTATATATGTGTGTGTGATGGACAAGCTGCAAGAAGTCTCCTCCAATGAGATCTTGGTCATTTTTCCTTATTGTCAGCCTAACCAGCAGCTATAAAACAGGAGCGCCACCTAAGAGCAGACTGCTTGGCTCAAGTTTTAGGAAATTGTCTATTTTTTATAAAAGAGAGGGATGGATATAAATAAGGAAAAGATTTAAAAATTAATAAACACTGAAGATCGACAATTGCCATAATAACAGCAAAAGTATCCCCTAAGACTTTTTTCTCTATTAGTTTTCCAGAAGTGAAATTTCAAGTTAGTATATGTAAATATCTGACTTGGTGGAACATGATGAATTTGTTCAAAAAAGAAATGACGAGAATTGTTGCTGACCTCATTGGAAGAAATGGCTTTTGTAAAATCTTTTTTATTTTTGTATTTCAAATTTAGTGACTCTGGAATGCATGTCTGTGAGCCAAATGGCACTGAGAAAGACTCTGCCCTTGAAACTCAGTATTAGGAGATTCTTAAGGGTTTTTTTTTTTTAAGGCAGTTTAGTTCTTTTCATTTTATTTTATTTTATTTTATTTTCATCCATTTTGTGGTCCAAAGGATGTCCTTCAACAAAACAAACTGTGCTAATCATCATTAGAAAAGTTAGAGAAAGTCTGTCGGGCACAGTGGGTCACACCTGTAGTTCCAGTACTTTGGGATCACTTGAGGTCAGGAGTTTGAGACCAGCCTGGCCAACATAGTGAAACCCCATATCTACTAAAAATCTAAAAATCAGCGGAGTGCGGTGGCGCATGCCTGTAGTGCCAGCTACTCAGGAGGCTGAAGCAGGAGAATCACTTGAACCAGGAAGGTAGAGGTTTCAGTAAGCTGAGATCACACCACTGCACTCCAGCCTGGCAACAGAGTGAGACTCCATCTCAAAAAAAAAAAAAAAAAAAAAAAGTCAATGGTAGAGAAGCAAATTCAGATACTAATGGTGAATTACCTGCCACCTTTTTAAGCGGCCTGACATATATCCCCATACATTTAGGGTATATATGGCAAAGACCAAAACTTAGACCCACAGGGAGAAAGAAAATTTATAAACAACTAAAGTCTAGACCATGCAATTGGAAAAACAACATCTGTCCCTCTCATTGAAGGCTTCTCATAATTTACTGCAGAGTAACAGCAAGTATTGATTTCTGCCCTTCAGCTTCTTGAACTGCCATTTATCACTGTTTACCTCCCAGAAACTTCATGTCAGAAAACGACTGTTCATCAGGCTTTTTCATAACAACACATAAAGAGCTACAGAAAAAGCAGAGACTTCAACTAGCTTCATTTCAGGTGTCTCAATACCTTCCTCAGCCAATGAGTGTTCAGGATCCTCCTAGAGCCCAATTTTCCTCTCCTGGGCCAAACGGGAGATTCTACCCAGGATATCCTGGTAGGAGTTCTTTCCTTACTTCTGGTTCCATCCAAATGCTTCTTTTTGTTCAGCATTATGAGACTTTCTAAGCTGTCTGTGAAGAGCTTGTTTGAGAAGACAACTAAGCTTTATGTGTTAAAACAGTAGCCAAGTCTCCAATCCCTTCACCAAAAGCATTCCAGAAATGTCTGTGTTTCGTCAAAGGGCCTAGATCCATTATCATCTACAAATTCAGTCCATTCCTCGTGAAACTCATCTAATCAAATGATTTGATAGAATCATGGTGCTAGAAAGAGCTTTGAGAAATCATTTGGTAAAACCTCAAGTTCTCAAAACATTCGATGTCCAAAATAGAGGAGAAAACAGATTTCTTCCTAAGGAAAAATTTCAAAGAACCGGGAGAAGCTGCCTAGAGTTCCCTATAGGGGATTTTACATGGTTGGCCCAAGCTCTGCAGGAAAGAATGTTGTGATTAATTAATAGCAGTACAGGAAAGGGTAAAAGGCTGATTCTGGCCTGACTTATCCAAAACAAGGCATTTTCTCTTCTTTTAGCTTTGCTCTCAATCTTTCTCCATCATGTGTTATTTCTGTTAGCCGTGTCTTATAAAAACCTTTCAGAAACCACGGTCTACTTCCGTCCTCTCTTCTGAAAAAAGCAGCAAACCTTTTTATCTTTTATCCTGGAGCCCATTAACCAACCCTTTAATCATCGTGGTTGCTTGTTTCTATAGTCACTTTAATTTCTCAACATCCCTTTGAACGGTGATGACCAACACTGAACATAGTACTCTAACTCAGACCATAATCTGACTGATGCAGAATCTAAAGGAATGATTGCCTCTCATCTTCATTTCTTCGTATGCCCTGGTATTACATGGGGTTTTTCACAATATTACTTGACTTACATCCATGCCAGGTCACTGTTACCTGTGTTCAGACATCATTCCAGATCTCTTGTTGATGAGATTGTTCAGAGATTTCACATCAAAATAATTTGCCCAAAAGAAGCCTCCATTTTGAGGGATAGGAAGGTTTGGACAAACGTAAAAGATGTTTTTAAAAAAAGAAAAAAGACAGCCATTTTAAAACTAAAGCAGATGTTTAAAATGTTGAAAAGGGAAATTTAGTAAAAGGCCAACATTTTTGAAAAGCAAATTTTAGCAAATCAGATATTTTAAACAAGAAGTTTCATGGGATACTAAATTAAAACTCCAAGTGTGTCCCAGATCCATGCCCTGTCCTCCCATTACCCTTCCGTGTCCACCCCTACAGGATCCAGGTTGGAACTAACACAAGGAGAAAGTGTGATGCTAATTTGGGGGAGCTAAAATTGGCAATAAAACAATTTAAAAGTAAAATTTAAAACAAAAGACAGCTGAATTCAAACAGACATAAGGTCAGTCCCAAGTGAGTTGACCCAGGTTGATGGATGTGCTATGAAAAACTTACCTAGGTAGAGTCTAAATGTGGAAAATGTTCAGCCTCCTAGAGACTTATACTTGTGGGTACTTTGGGGAACCTCCAGGATCCCTCTGGAAAGAAACCCTTCACAAGTATCCTAAGATATCTTTAGACTTTAAGGAGCAAGACACTTAAATGTCCAGCCAGCTCCTTGTATTTAACGTGTCTAGATCTGAGTTTCTAATCTTCTCCCTCATATTAATTGTTCCTCCAGCTTCCCTGTTTTGCTCATGGCATGGCCAGTTCCCCCAACTCCAGTCTTGTAAATCAGAGTAATCTTTGTTGCCTTCTCCCTGAAATCTTGCTGAATCACATGACACCTAAATCATACCTTTTGTATTATATTAATCTCTAGTCCCATCCCACCCACTTTGTTCCGTTCTTTTCTACCTCTTCCCTCAGCTACTAAAGTAGCCTCCCAACTGTTTCTCCACCTTCTCTTCTTCCCCTGCAACCCCCTCTGTAATCTGCCAAATTCATCCTTTCAGAGCACACTCCAATTTCATCATTGTTCAAAAACACTTTAGGGATTCCCATTATCCCTCCAAATCGTTGTGAAATTCCTAACCCTGAGAGTCAAGACCTTCGGCAGTAAAGCCCCCAGTCTACCTTTCCAAATGGGTCACTTGCTCCAGCCAGCTTTTCCATTGCTATGATTTTGTTGGCTGATCTTTCAACTTCCAGCTTCTTGACAACTTCCAACATTGTATTC